GTTTGTAAGTCAATCAGGGAGTCAATGAACTCTAATAAGAGCTCCTGCTTGCAAGAAGTTTGCAGGTCAACTGGGGAGTCAATGAGCTCTGATGAGAGCTCCTGATTGCAAGAGGTTTGTCAATTGGGGAGTCAACAAGCTCTGAAGGGAGCTCCCAATTGCTAGAAGTTTTTTGGTGAGTCAGAGAGTCAATGACCTCTGATGAGAGCTTCTGATCACAAAATCTTTGTAGGTCAATCAGGTATTCAATGAGCTCTGATAAGAGCTGAATCAATAACTGCGAATATAAGAAAACCATACATGTGAATGGTGGTTTGAGAAATGAACATGAAAGCAGTCTTCACAGTAATGAACACTACTTAAGCAGTAGTGAAAAATTCATTTGAGAATGTCAAGTTCAGTAATGCCAAAAAATTGCACAGCCTTATCTCAAGTCTAGTGAACAAGACCACCCTCTTAGTTTTTGTCAGTTGTGACTGGTAAGAGATTGCAAAGATGGTGAGAAGTTGGTACCAATAAGATGCTTTGAAGATGGTTTGGGATATAGTGTCAGTAACATGAAATGGAGAACATCCTTTCCACCCTCCACCAGAGAAGTCAAATAATGAGGAGACACACAAAAGAAGGCTTCTTTCATCAATTTGGCTGCATCATAATTCAGTCACCTTTGTATATCGAGATATCATCACTTGTTACCCAGCTATGGTTCTGCACTGGGGCAAAGAACATGCTCTGCTATATTCCAAAACTTTGTCTCCAAGAAAAGCTTGGACAAGAGATTTGAAAGCTTCCATCAGCATTCTAGGGTTCTTGCAGGATTTGACATCACAAGTGACTTCTACCAGACTGGCAAAAGAAAGGCTTGGAAGGATCTTGTGAATAACACTTGTACAAACACTTACAGAACTTAGAGGACAAGTACCCTACTGCATGTAAAGCCGGTACAACAGCAGATGAAGTCAGGTATGATGCTGATAATTTCATGCATTAACCGACTGTCTTGTCATGTACTGTAAATGTAGGAGATTGGAAACTTGTTGGCTAATAGAATTTCAACATTTGTACCAAACTCAACTGTTCTCAATTGTCTACCTTTTAACATATTTGTCATAAGGGCTTTGTATATTTTAAGCTAACAACATCTGCCATTAATTTTATTGTTTTCAGTGTAACTTAAGAAAATTAGCGACAAAATATCAATAATTGACCCAAAACCATGATGACAGTTCTCCTTAAATAATAATTAAAATGGCAATGTTTGGTTTGAGCAATTGCAATTATCACTTGTTACGTAAAGTTACTCTTCTCCCTCCCCCCTCCCCCCACCACCAAAAAAATATAATATTTGGTCAAGTAGTTAAAAATGTCTATAAACCTGTACATGATGATACTTCCAAAAGCACCCCCACCCCCTGCCAGTTAAATCATAGTGTGGCAAGTCACTGACCCCATAATTTGTGACTATGACTGACATGGCGAGGTTCTCTGTGTATCAACCTATCATAATTCAATGTCAATCCTTATAATTATGTAGTTGGGGTGCTCCATAGTGCTTTTTCAAGGCCTCAACTATTATCCCTTCCACTCCCTTACAACTTTACTACACTGACAGACAGGCAAGTAAATTGTAAAATAGGAAGATTGTCATGTCAAGGACACAGTCTCGCCATAATTCAAATTCTAACAAAATGTGTGGTCACCAGTAGCTCAAATTAATTTTTTGATCCGTAGAGGAAAAGGACAAAAACATATTTAGAATGAATGGAGTCTTTGCAAGTGTTTAACTTTCTTTTCAATTCCCAGATGAAAAGCAGTTCAAAAATCAGGTAATCAAACTTTGATTTGCATTGTTGAAAATGTCTTTTATAGATTAAATGATTTATTACCATAATGAAAACCTGCAACATTAAAACTTCAGCTTTTAATCTGTTTGCTACAAAAAAAGAAACAGAGACTGAACCTCCATCAGTGGCTGATGCATCCCCATCAGTAGCAACTGCAGCAACAGGGGCTTGTTCTGTCATCTTCTGTTGCTGACTTCGCGTAAATCTGGTGGGAGCAGGAGGGGTTGGTGGGAGCTTTCCCCATTCTTCCTCAAGCTCTTTCATCTGGAAGGAAATTAGAGACGGAAAGGCATGGTGGACAGTTATTTGTATCAAAAAGGTTTAACTTATCTTTTTTTCAAAATGTTTCAATCAGCAAACCCATTTTTCAAACTTGGTTTACCAACCAAAGATAAATGCAAAGCACACTCATGGCATTAAAAAAGTGGGTTACTGAAAAACCAAACTGACAAACCCAATTGTACAAAGTGCCACAGTAAGACCCCCCATTGGAAAAACTAAGCAGATCACATAGAGGAGGAATCCATGAACACAAGACAATTGTCCCACCAAGCAGTCTTGCTTTAGCATCTTTACTTACTACTCATCTGCTCACTAATAAATCACTGCACCTCCCCTTAACATTTACACACTTCACATAGCTTGATGTAAATTTTCCTTTGTTCTTTATATACGTGAACTGTTGAAGTCCCATGAAAAGTACTGTAAAGCACATTAAAGCATATTCATATAGAAAATGCACCCTATAAATTCATCAGTATCATTATTAATAGAGTCACGCACACTTGAGTGGCCCACTGCCAGAACTTATCCTGCTCTTCATGAAGTAACTAAGAGTCTTAATTACTAGCTATTCCCTGTGGATGAAATGCTAGACCACAGAAGATAGCCTTGCAGCATTCTTCAGATTTTCAATTTGCCAGTGCTGATTACACGGTTATATACATGTAACACTCCTACTCAAAGTGAAGCACTGCAAGAGTAGTGTCTAACACAAAAACACAACATAATCACCCCCTGCAGGCCTCGAGACCACACCTAACAATCCAAAACCACCATATGCATGCTAACCAATGGGACACCATGTCCCCATCAAAGATCTAATATGAATGTATATCGAACAGTCATACCATCTTTAACCAAACAAAAATTATAAGAAAAAAACATTGAAACTATTTGACCTCTGCTTCAAATAACACCACAACCTAAACAGACTAGACCTGCAAGCAACAATAAATGAGCTCATGCTTCACAGTAAATACTCTGTTTAAATGGTCAAAAAATATATTCCAACACTAAACTTTAAACTCTAACATAAATAAAGACATCAAAATCAATCTTGTTAAAACCATTGAGTCAAAATGATGAGTCTAAATCACCAAATATTACCGTAGTGTGCAGCGAGAGCCTTTCCACAGGAGTACCTGGGTCATTATGACGATTTTCAAGGCAACAAAAATTGGGTGTAACTGAAATACCGGTCTTCTTTTTCTTAGTGTTATAACATTTGTTTTGTTTTCCTTTCACAAAAGCCCTAAAAAGCACATTGGCTATGATCACCTCCATGTATTAGAACTTGAAAACCTAATTAACTAAAATTCATTCACAAAATAGTTTCATATCCTTGAAATCTCTGTAGTGGGTATTTCAGCCTTGAGCAAATCACATCTGTGTAAAATTCCCATCTCTAAGATCCACTGGTCTGTTCTTAGTCCAGATGATGTAGAAAAAAATTAATAACAAAATTATAGTGCTGATCCTTCAAAGGTGGAATTATTCCATTCCATAAAAATTGAGAATAAGGCATTAATTAATAATTAACAGCTGGATATGAAATCTGTGGTTGGTTTATGTCCAAGATATCATTTTTTCCTTCTTCCCTAAATTATTAATAAAAGCCTTATGTTGAGTCAGCAGAAGAAGAATATTTTAACATAAATACGGGGTTAAAAGAAGAATTACATGTTCTACTCCTGACAATTTTTAACATCATGACTATTTCAGCAACATATGAGGCTACAGTGGGAAAAAAACTCACAAGTTTGCAATTTGAAAGTAAAACATTTCTTTTGTTGCTCCAGTAATTCATTTTTCATTTCTTACTCATTTGAGGAATATAAAAGTTCACAGTTCAAAGTAAAATAGTTTATAATCAATATCTTTAAAACACTTATTTTAGTTGGTATTACACTAATGTAACAGTCAAAAGATATTGCAAACTTGACAACAGATGAGTGAAAAATATCTCATCATGAACGTAGAAATCATGCATTTTTAGGTGAACAAAATTATTTTCAAAAACATTTGTCATCAAATTTTTATTGTGCCTTCACTAAATAACATGGCTAACAGTAACTTCCAATTGCCAATTTATTTTGTTGTCTAGATGAGAATATGCCTAAGTCTGTCAAATTTGAATGTGATGCTATTTGGTTTATTCTACTTGGTGTTGCCCTAAATTTTTGTCAGTCGCAAGAGTCTAAACCATCCAAAATTTCTAAAGGGAGCCCACACCTCCCTTGGAAAAGGAGGTCCTTCAGGCATTAAAAAAACCTGCCTGCTATTTTAAACAACCCATTTGATCCAAGCTACTAATTATGCATATAAATTCCCTTTTAGTTAATAATTACTAAGTTAAACAGGATGGAACTGACACAAGTTACTGTGCTTGAAAGAAGAAAGCTGGGATCCCACTAAAGCCATCTAAATTCACTTCACATAATAACAATCAACAGAAAATATCACTGTGACAATACATTTTTCCTAGTCAAAAAAAGTCATATGATCTGTGAACATCACAGATATTATGGGTACACACCTGCACAGGCTTGATATTCTGTAACTGCTGCTTAAGTATGTCTCTTATCCACTTGTATATTTCTATGGCCAGGGTTTTAGCCTATAAGATAAACCCCACCAATAAATAAACCACAGCAATCACAATTATGCAGGTGAATAAAGGCTGATAGTTTCGAAAGAAACTGTTTGGGGCTGCATCGGTGGGAGTATCGAAATAATTTGGATATATCAACAAAGTTGAAGTGGTAAATTGGCCACCGTAACGATTACAAAAGCTAACATTTTGAGCGTTAGCCCTTCATCGGAGCGAAGGGCTAACGCTCGAAACGTCAGCTTTTGTAATCATTACGGTGGCCAATTTACCACTTCAACTTTGTTGATATATCCGAACAATTATGCAGGGTTTGACACCTGTCTACCTGCATTATAGCCACCAGGCTAATAATTTCTAAAATTTACTGGCCCAAAACACAACCTGGTAACCCAGATCAATTTCCCTCGAGGTCTACTTCAACCCCAAATACGCAAATCTTCCCCTAAACTTATTGGTAGGGTCTTTTGAAATGATAAGGTATGATACAATCGCTTCAAGTGTAATACAATCATGTTAGGCGATGTGCAAGGCATCACAACATTGGTAGGGAGAAGACTAGGGAAAACATCGACCACTAAGCGCAGAGTCTGGGATTGAGCGATGTTCATATTCCACACGCAAGACAAAAAAAGACACTATAATGTATCATTTCTTTCAATTTTTCTACTAGCCAGCGGGCTATTAAATGTGGTTTTTTACTAGCCCAACCAAATTTTTACTAGCCTTGGGCTACCAGGCTAGTGGAGATGTTGAACCCTGATTATGATACATGTAAGTCACTTGTAATATATACAGCTGTTTTAAGGCTGGTTGGCAGAAAAAAGTGCATGAAAATACCTGCAACAATTCTGAAAAGTAATATCAGTGTGTCGACAAATTAGATGGCAGGCTAATAAATGGCTCATATCAAAATTCTTTGATCACATCCCATGTGCAATTTGGTACTGTTTTCTAACAACCCTCTCAACACAGCCGAGTAACCAGATAAAAAAACAAATTTATTTATACTTGGGAGTAAACAATCTAATGTCAGTAGAAGGAAGCAGAAGTTATTCCAAGAAATGAATCTTTGGGAAGAAAATTCATTCCTTTGAAGCTCATTAGTCTCCTGGACAAGGAACTCTTGAGGGACCTGATTAAACCCTTAACTGGTAAAAATGAATGCATGAGTAATCAAAGAAGAAAACTGTATCCTGACAGAAAGAGATTAAAGATGATTGACTCACCTCTTCTCTGACCATTTTGTCATTGTGATCAAATAGTTTGGGTAAAACTTTCACAATAGGTTTTAGACTGAAGACTTTACCACCAAACTCACTGTTAGGAGAGAAAAAATATAACCACTGCCAGCTGCAAACTTTGTCCAGTAATTTTGAAATATTACTCGTTCCCAAAAAATGTCTTTTCTTTGCTGTGTTTACTGCACCGCTCAAAACTCAGCGAGGCTAAACTCTAACAAAAGTTGAAAGGAGCCCCAGTGCCCTGAAATTCCAAATCCAGGATGCCCAGCATATGTTTTTAAAGAAAAAACTAAGATTCCCTTGTTGCCCAAAAGCAACAGCAAGGTGCCACAGCCACCAGGCACTGCTAGTCAGAGCACAACCCTGAAAAGTATGTTACCACCTCTTCTCTTATTTCCAGCGAGGTGCATCTCATTTCTCTTCATACTCACTTGAAGCCAGCGTACAGAAGACCACTGCTGCTATATGCTACATGTAGGTGTTGACAAAAAGTTCAATTGAACGCGAGATACTGTATGCAATATCGTAAGTTTTGCATTTCAAATATTTAAAACATTTCGAACAAAACATTTCGAACCAAAACATTTCAAGCCAAAACATTTCAAACCAAAACATTTCAAACCAAAGCCAGTCGAACTGGCTTTTGACCTGTGACCTGCACTTATATTCCTAAGATTTAGATTTAAAATCATTTGGCTTTGGGCTCATTAGGTTACCAGGAAGTTTATAAAACAAGCACAGCTGAGAGCAAAACAGCAAATAATCATGTAAAAAGAAAGCTAGAGTTTAAATCGGTAATGACTTAAGAAATTACTTGTCTGAACACTCTTTTCCAGCAATTGATATTTTAGTTTACTTTCTAGTTGTAGTTCTGTGGTGGAAACCACACTTTGCAAACTACAGTCAGTGTTCACCTTATTGCTTGACGCAACACACTTGTACAAGCTGCAACAATTTTGGGCTGTTTGTTCTCAAGTCCTTTCAAAACTTCTTCCTAAAATAGGAACAGATTTACACCATGAGAAAAAAGAAACTTTAACTCTGATGACTTGTTTCAGGCAATGTTATAATATTTTTTTCTCTCCATTTGTTACTTCTAAATACTGCCAATCATTAGTGCACATTACCTTTATGGACACATGGCCACCAAGCCACTAGCAAGCTGGACAAAACATGGAAAGCTTTGGGTTTAAGCCCTGACTGGGTCATTGCAGTGGTGGATCTAGGGGAGGGGCCCAAGGGGCCTATATACTAGATACTCCTAGTCACTTTGTGTAACAAATTTGAAGATTAACAAGAGGAGCTAGAGGCTCCTTCATAGAGGCCTAACCCTTCCTTCCTGTCCCAACTCATGTATAGACAGCAGAGAATCTGAGTACAAAAAGTTCTCTATATAGACCACTTTCATAAATGGCTGCCAGATTAATATTCTTTTGTTTAAATTTAAATTAGCCCTTCTGGCCTTGTTCTCCAGTACAAAATTCAAAAGAATACATTATCTCAAGTGAGGCCAGAAGGGCTAATTTAAATTTAAACAAAAGAATATTAATCCAACAACCATTTATGAAAGTGGTCTATTGCATGTTCCAGCAAATTTTATAGATGTTTAGTCAAAGGTCTCCAAAACTATAATATAAAATTATGAATGCTATTAATTACAAAATCAGGTAAAATCATTTCAAAAGTTAGGAAAGGCACCATGCATCTATTTCACTTACTTGAACAACATCTTGCTTTTCAACTTCTATGTACATCAAAATTATATTAATTCCCTTTTCTTTGGTTTTTGGTCTAGCATTCAGACACTTGGTTACTACTCCTGCTATTACATCACCAGCAACCCTGGAACAAAAGTTGACAACAAAAAAATGTTCATCATCTCTTTGTCAGGGTGTACTCTATGTACTTCCTACTCCAAAGAACACAAGGTACTTAAATTGGTCCAACCCAAAGATGGTCTTATTTCTTGGCTACACATTATTTGTGTCTGTCTTAAATTCCCTTTGCAATGACATTCTCAGCCTTGTGCCCACACTAATGATGAGGCATTGAGTTGTTACAAACAAACTTCCAAACTAAATGAATCTCAGAAATAAGTAGCAAGGCTGTGCTCTAGCAGCGCCCGCTCGCCTCAGGCGACTAACATTTGGTCCCGGGCGACTGAAAAAATATTCCAGTCGCCCAGCCAGGCACTTGGCCTCTTGTGCAGCATTCGCCTCTATAGTAAATCGGGCCATTGACTGCTACATTTTTATTTGGTTGATTTATAAGCATTACTAGCAGAAAAAAATATTCTTTTGTGCGACACGTTGTCGAATTGTTCATGTTCAAAGACAATTTCGCATGAACCCAAATAATAATTATTGATTGCGAAACAATATTACAAAAATATGCGTTGAACACCACGATTTTCCTTGAGATGATCAATATGTGATTTATTTCAGTGTTTCGATGGATTTGGAAAGTGTAGTGCGTTTATCTTTATTTCAAACGAAGTTTGTTTCTATATGCAAATTTCCAGCAAGCCAGCATTAGTTGTAGGTGTTTATCGATCGCTGTGATAAGCAACTTGCAATTACTTTAGGAAGAATTAGCGAGAACCGAGCTTATAACGATTTCATATTTAGACTTGTTTACTTTGGTGCTTTCAAGTGAAAGTTCTAAGCAGTTTTAAAACATCCAAAGAAACAATTGCCATTTTGAAAAATAACGCAAGCTCACCACTAAAATAGCAACACGCTCTGTCGCGTGGTGTGGAAGTTTTAATTTTCAGGAAAAGGTTTAAAATATAGCTATTCCCACAGCTTTCTTGCAAGTGTTGGTAAAAAAATAAAAACGTTTCACTTTCAAAGCGCCACGATTTAGTAGAGATTACCTTTCCCAGTGGTTCTCATGGCCAGACTAGCAACTCTATTTTTAATTGTACCAGTAAATATCCAGTCGATTTTTTGTCCACTTTCTGAAAATTTCAGTTCTCCACATATACTCAGTTGCAATATATACGGCTTTTTCATTTTGCCCCTCACTTCTTTTACAAAAAATGGACGAATAAGGAAATTTTTACAGAAAATCTCTTAATGCAGGAGGTAAACTATTCTATTTTGGTCATTTGGCCTTTTGCTTTACATAAAATCAGCACGCTTCACAGATGACTCAATCAAGCTGTAGAATGGTGATCTTAAAGATCACAAACGCTGTGAAAAAAATATTAAGGAGATGGATCCATTAACTGGGAGTCAAACTTGTTTGTACTGAAAAGGAGCCAGAAGTTATCTGATAATGGATTATATATGGTAGACAGCTACACCAAAAGTTAAATGCTTTCTGAACAGCTCAAATTATTGAAATTTATGGTTTTATTAAATATTAATTGATTAAAATGTGAAATAAGTTAATTATAAATTATTAACTGTTTGATTAATTAATTAATTAATTAATTAAGAAATTAATTAATTTTGGGGTGACCAACTTGGAGGGCTGGGCACCCCAGCTGCAATGGTTGGGAGCCCAAAGGGCTCCCTGAAAATTTTCTTAGAGCACAGCCTTGAGTCCTGTGTAACTTTAATCTTTTGTAAAAAATTCAAAGCCTGAACACCAACTGCATCAGGTCCTTTAATTTCTAGTTCCACAAAAATAACAAACTTTGAGGTTTGAGATTATCATTAGCAATGCTTTCTTATCTAAAAAAAATTATGGTTAATAACCCTTAAGCCTTGATTACTAGGTGATTAAATTCCCATGAGCAAGTAAACAAATTCATCATCCATCTATACACATGAATTATCAAATGAATGTGATAATCAGGACTCAACACTAACGGTAGCCCACTGGCCACAGACTAGTAGAAACTCAGTTTTAGCCAGTGGTTTTCAATTTCCTCTTGCCAGTTTGGCTAGTTAACAGACTGAAATTGTCGTAACATCTAAAAACATCTAGGATGTCACTAGCCTAGTAAGTTGAAAAGTTGGTGTCGAGCCCTGATAATTATGCCTTATTTATCATATTCAACTAGTACAATACACATTAATTGAGAGACCTTCCTCATTCTGAAAAAGCTCATTTCTCTCAGAAAAAGACTGAAATTACGTACTCTTGTATTGTACTTTCGTCAAAATAATCTTATCATCATTCCTGATCGATAAGAGATTTGTTTACCACTTTAACACCCATTCAAACGTTTTATCTCGTTCGATTACAATATTTGATTCCAATAATTCTAACGTTGAGGAAGGAAAATTAGGAGGGACTTACCTCCCAGAAATCGACGGCGAAGCAGCTTCCAAAAAAGCTAATACTGCTTCAAGACCCTTCTCTTGAGCAACAGCATTATTATCGATCACAAATTTCTTCAGCATTCCCAGATACTTGTTGAATTCATTACTACTTTCATCGTCAATTTTTTTATAAATTTTGACAAGCTCCTCGTAGCCGTTTAACCTCGCTTTCCATACCTGAAAGATGAAAATATCACTTTGGCATAAGTTCTATGCTACCCTATCATTTCAAAAATATTAGAGTTTAGCAAGGCGCGAAATTCATTTACCTTGTGACCCAAACGATCTTCGAGCGGGAGTTTTGTGATATCTGCATCATCTGCCATGGTATATAGTATATTTTTCAAACGGACAATTATATGTACAAGTACAGCTTGCAATTCTTTACAAGTGCGTTGCAAAATACAATTTTCCAACGATAACTACATTGCAGTTTTCAACGAACATTTGAAATGGCCGACTCCGACAGAGCACGTGATCAATCAGAACCAATCACTAAAGATGCTGTCACTGTAATGATATCATGTATTGAGGTGTAAGACTCATGAAATGTCACACAACAAAATAGTTCAAGCGATATTCGATAAAGAATGATTTGCCGGTCTTTCAAGATAAGTTTCATGTTTGCTGATCTCTTTTATTGGTCAGGAAAATTATATCTGCGCTCCTTAGTAATTGATTTGGGGGATATTTCCTCTCAGCGAGCAAAATAAAAGAAAAAAAAACATTGTTCTCGCGAGAAAACGCGCGAGACGAGTGAGTGAGAGAGCGGAGAGGTCACGTTTCGCGAGTACTGGGGACCTCTGCTTACCGAGGGATGGACTCTACAAACGAAGTAAAGAGATTCTTATAAAGTAAAAAAAGAAAAAAAATGGGGAGAGAGAGACGGTGTCATTAACCATTGAGCTCCAGATATTTGTTTTGTATCCAAAACTACTTTGGCCAGGCACTCAATCACCTCCGCCCCTGGAGGTGTACCTAAAGAATAAATAAGGGTAGACTAAATACTGACATGAGAAAAGTTCTTGATTTCACATGGTTGGGTCTGGCAAATACAGGAGCTTTGTTATAACGTTTCCTTTGTCCCTCACGAAAAATAACCAGATATCCTTAAAAGAGCCTCAATTTTCTTTTTCTGAGCAAGAGACCATAGGTCAATTCTGTGTTACAGTAGTGAAACTTTTGGGAGACAATTTAGTTTGAAATTAAGTGACTTTAATCCAATATCAAGAGCTCAATTCAATAGAAAGGGACAGGAAATTTCCAGATTTGTTTGCAAAGGCCTTGAATTCAAAGAATATAATTTTATGTTCAGCAATGAGGGTGATTAGAAGCCAGAAGCTGTACCTGAAAACCTTCTTACCCCAATCTCATCATACACCCACATGTATCAGTTCACAGCACAACAACAGAATATGATAATAACATTTATTTGGGTTGCCAATAATCTGTTAGAGAAAATAATCTTACAATAGTAGAATTGTTCAGTAATTTTATATTAATGATGCTTTCAAAATTTTATCTTAAATTGCTTTTTATGATAAACATTAATAGGAAGAGAGTTAACTTTAAGAGAGTAATTCTGTTCTGAGTGAAGTTGACTACGATAAATTCCCATAGGCACTCTTTTTGATAGAAGTCATTAAAAAGTACAAAAAATTATTGGACATAATCAAGTGTATGTAACTATATAGCATAGTCAGCAGCAAATGTTTTGTGAATGGATTACAGGGTGTAATGAAATAATGACCAAGGTAAGTCAGTGTTACCTTTCACACTCAATGGAAAACTGCTCTAACTGCTGTTGAGCTGTTTTGCTTTTACAAATGCAACACAGGTGATAATTATAGAGGTTTTGCACAGCAGCCATGTTGGATGGCAGGAACAATGAAAATATTTTGCATAAGAAAGAATTTTTTTCCCATGAGTAAAATAATCTATTGTTCCTGCCATCCAACATGGCTGCTGTGCAAAACCTCTATGGAAAGTTTAATGCTTAATCAATAACTGCCTCCTGGTTAGCTCGAACCGCCTCCTGGTTGGCTCAATTGGTACAACCGCCTCCTGGTTAGCTCATTTGGTAAAGCACTGGGCTGTTGTGCGGGAGGTCGAGGGTTCAAGCCCTGGCCGGACCAACACTCAGGGTCTTCAAATAACTGAGGAGAATTTGCTACCTTTCTATAATATCAAGAAATGGATAGATATTCTAGTCTTCTCGGATAAGGACAAATAAACCGTAGGCCCCGTCTCCTGCAGGGTTAGGGGTAGGAGATGTTAATTTCCCACACACGAGATTACTGTGGTGGATGTCCTCCCCTGGGGTGGGATGGGT